TGTTTTCCACAGGGAGATGAGGCTCTGTGACAGGAAGGGTTAAACCTCTTGCATCTGGATGAGCAGCAGCCCCTCACTAGGGCCCAGGAATCCCAGATAAGGCCCACCTCCACCCCGTCCTCACCACATACCCGCCTGCTCGTTGGCCGCCAGGTTCTGTTCAAACTCGATGCGCAGCATCTCGTACTCCTTGCGTACCTGGGCCAGTGTGTCCTCCAGCTGGATAACCTCTGTGCGCAGCTTCTTCTGCAGCCCCAACTCATCGCTCTGTGGGTTGAGGCATTAAGGACCCACACAGTCCCTCTGCTCCCTGGCAAGCCCCCTGCCTCAGGCCTCAGTGGCTTAAGAATTTATTCCCAAGGGACCCCTGGCAGGCATACAGGGACTCAGACCAGGAAAGCCTTAACCCTCAGGGTCTGGCACTTACCACAGCCCCCACCCGTTCTAGGGCCATACCTCCATGTGTTCAATGTGTCTCAGGTGGGAGTTCTTGGTGGCCAGCAGCAGCCCCCGGGCCTCATCCAGCTGGGTCTTCACTTGCAGAGACTCATTGTAAAGCAGTGAGAACTGGGCCTGCAGCATTCGGTATTCCCCCGTCTCCCGAACCACCTCTTCAGGAAGACTACGTAGGGCCACCTAAAGGTAGGGATGCCCAAAAGTGATCAGTGAAAGGATTCAGCCCCCACCTTGCAGTCTTAGGCCCTCCCGGCCCCAAATGCCCACCTTGAGGCGCTCATTGGTCCGCACAGCCCCCTGAAGTTCGGCCTGTAGCTTCTCCAGCTCTGTCATGCGGTTATTGGCCAATTCCTGGTTTTCCTCTAACTCCGCATTCAGCATCTCAAACTGTGGGATGGGAAAGGCTGCGGCAGTCAGGGCCAGGCCAGGAGGCATGCTTCCTTCACACAAGCCCCACTCACGCTCTCCTATGTGCAGCAATGATGTACTCTGAAGCCCCTGGGACAAGCCAGACCTAAGCACTTTCCTAAGAGCTCCCAGGCAAGTGGAAGTAAACTCAATACTGCATGGTGAATGCTGGGAACCAAGGCCTGTAACTGACAAGGCGTGAGAGAAGGCTTCCTGGAAGCCCTGAAGAGTAAGCTGAAGGAACGGGAATAGGGCATGGTGATCCCCCACAGCACCAAGAAAATGTGCAACGGCCAAGAGGTGAGAGCATAGGTAGGACAAGGAATGACAGTGATTGAATGCACTGTCTCAGCAAGGCTCTTCTTCAGCCACCCAACTAAGAATTCCAATCGCCCCCAACACTTCCATTTATCTACTGTCTACACTTTCTCCTTGTGGTGCTTATAACCACCTGATGTACTATTTTCCTTACTTCTTGTCAGTTCTCCCGACTAGAACTTAAGCTCCATGAAAGCTTTGGTTTTTGTCTATCTTGTTCTCCAATATGCTTGCTCCCAGCACAGTGCCTAGCACTTAGTGTTTAGCAATGACCTACTGAACATATTTGTGCATGAATACAACAAAGAGCAGCATGAGTGACAGGGAAGGACCTCAGACACCATAATTCTGTGGGGAATGTCAAGGGCAGAGAAAAGATTATGGGAGGGACTGGGAAGAATGATACCTGCTCACCTTCTGCATGCTGAGTGTGATCTGGCCCCCCTGGAAGCCTGAGGAACTCCCAGACACATAGTAGCCAGAGTTGAGCTGTGGAGAGGAGAGAAAGAAAGACAGACAGATGAGTGTGAGGAGAGAACCTAGGGCCCTAGGTACCCAGCCCCTACATCTGACACAGCACCCTAGCCCCACCTGCTCCAAGGCCTCCGCCAGGTGCTTATTGAGCTTTTGCTCACGCTTGCGCAGCTTCTCAATGTCCCACTGCAGGTCCTCTACTGTCGTCTCCATTTCTAGCACTTTGGTCTCTGCTGAAGTCACTTTATCCTGGAGCTCAGAGTACTGAGAACAACGAAAAGGGCAGATGCTTAAATGAGGAGACTTGGTTCCCTAAGATCCTTGGGTGTCCACCCAACCTAGACCCTGCCCTGGGTCTAATCCCACCCCCAAAAATGCAACGCCCACCTCCAATGAGATACGGTGGTGCTTCTCCTGTAGCTGGGTGGCCAAGTCCTGAAGTCGCCGGTTCTCACGGCCCAGCTCCCGGGTGCGTGCCCGAGCCGCCTCACCAGGGTGCTCACTATCCCCTGGGAAGTCAGGGCTCGGGTCAGAGTCAAGTCCAGGGCAATGGGGAAAAGTGCTAACTCATTCTGGGGTCTGCTCTGTGCCCAGTGTGATCCACCATGACAAAGCTAGGAGTCTTTACCCCTACCGCACAGAGGAGGAAAGCAGCTCAGAGAGGAGAGCCATCTGCCCGGAATGCCAAGGCTAGAGTGACAGAACTAAGGCTTGGGGAAGCCCGTCTGCCTACAAAGCCGGGGCACTTGCTGCTCTGTCTTGTGCAAAGTGCTCCAAAAAAGATATCCCGCCAAAAGGGGTTAGCCCCACTAGAATCAACAGCTCCTCTTCTCGATCTCTTTAGAGTTCAACTCCAGAAATCAAAGTTGGAGCCCCCATCTACAACCTAACCCTTCCCCGAGAACATGACTGATTTATTCCTTGGGAAAATCTGGCTGCCTCTGGGCCAGAGGCATTGAGAAAGGGATAGAATAAAGATGCAAATTGGTATGGTGATCTCTGGGACGGGGGCACAAAGCACTAACCTCCGCTGTATACTCGCTGGCAGAGTTCCTCCACCTGGCGCTGCAGGCGGTCTGAGGCCTCCACGACACGGGACACGGCTGCCTTGGAGAACTCCATTTGGCCCTGTAGCTGCAGCTCCACCTCCTCATTGCTGCTGGCACCCAGTGCCACCACAAAAGCCAAGGCTGGCTCACTGAGTGGGGGCCGCAGCTGCATGGGCAGGGTCTCTAGGAGGGATGGAGACACTAATGAGGATAATAGCAGCAGTTACAACTCTGAACCAAGTTCCAGACTGAGCCATTCAACACTCTTTGGCTCACTGAATCAACACAACGACACCTATAGTGCATTGTTATCCCCATCTTGAAATCAAAACAACAGATTCAAGAGGTAATTCCCCCAAGGCCACAATGCTCCCAATTATTTCTGCAGGGAAGCCTTCTCAAACTAAATTAGAACCCACACCAGGCCCTGGCTGGGTCACTCAGTTGGTCAGAGCATCAGGTTGTGGGTTTGATCCCTGGTCAGAGCACATACAAGAATCAACCAACGAATGCATAAAAAAGTGGAACCACAAATCTATGATGTTCTCTCTCTCCCTAAAATCAATAAATAAAATAAAATAGAACCACACACAAGTGCACACACACTAATTCCCGTTCAGGGGCCCCGATACTTTTAACTTATGATTTACAATCACTTCCTCTCTGATGGCAGAGGTAGTATTTCTTTTTGCTTATCTATGTCTCCTGCAAGTCTAGATCAGTGCCAGATACACAGTCAACACTCCATATTAACACTTTTAACTAAACGAATCTCAAAACATAAATTGCACTATGAACCAAGTCACTCAGATTCCAAAGCCTGTATTTTGACCCATTGTATTAGCTGCCCAAACATGAAATCAATTTTATGTGCCTGTGTGGGAGGGGAGGTAGGGACTCCAGGAGCCTAATATCCAAAGTCCCTTCCTCTCCAGGATCTTTCCCAGAATGTAATTAAGCTCCCCAGGTCCTCGGGCTCTGGCCCTACCCCTCAGTTCTGACGTCCCTGGCTCTGTGAGAGGGGTCTCATCACGGGTCGGCCCCTCCTGGGTTCCAGGCGCCTCTGTCCCTGAAGACAGCTCCCCCTGGTTCTCATGGTGTCGAAGAAGGGTTTCCACAGTTTCATCCAGCTGAAGGGAGAAAGCACCAAAAATGTTATGAATTCCTCAGGTGCTTCCCTGATAACACTGCTTCCCAGCAGGAGTCTGAGAATGGGCAAGTGGATCGAGGCCAGTCCTGGAAGGCAGAGGGGCATCCACCTGGGCCCAGTAGCGATTGACGATGAGGAGCGTGGCGTCGTCGGTGGCCTGCCGCTTTTCCAGCTTCTCGATGCGCTCCCGGAGCTCATCCTCACAAGCCTGTCGCTGCTCCAACCGCTCCGCTAGCTTCTTATTCTTGAACTGCAAAACCTTCAGGTCCATCTCCTCCTGCCAAGGAAAGCGGGGCCCAAGACATCAATCAGAGAGACAGACAGAGGACAGCAACGCAATGGGTGGAAGGAGGAGCCCCACGCTAACTAACAGGATTTACAGGGGCGCGGACACCCACAGGGCGCCTTGGTGGAGGAGGGGCCGCTTCTGTCTCCTCCGAACCCTTCTGCAGCCTGTTTTCCTATCTGGAAAGGGAGAGCAGACGTCTTGCTCTCGGTTTCCCTCAACAGAGTGTTCTGTAAAGTGGATCCTGCTAAATGTGGGGAGCTAGGAATAAGGTTCCGGGCGATTTGGGCGGAGAACAGAGTTGGGAGCACAGAGTTGAGGGCGGGAACGAACCGTAGAAGAGATGCCCCCCAGACGAATGGGTTCTATAAGCGTGGTCGTGGTCTTCTCCTCGCGGCTCAACTTCTCTGGGGGCCCCGAGCCCCCGTCGCCGGCGGCGCGTTTGTTGCCGGGCCCAGACATGGCTGCGGCGGCAGGAGCGGTGCAGGGTCTCCCCAGGAACGTCAGGCGGGAGGCGGCGGCACCTCCGTCACCTGCAGAAGACGGAGAGCATAGATATGGAAGCGACCGGAGCTCCGCTGCCCAACCCTGCCCGGCACATACCTGCTGCATCCCGCCCCCACCGCCCTGGGCCCCTCACCTGCAGCAGGATCAGCCGAGCGCCGCCATCTTGGATTCACCAGACGTCACCCGGCCTCCCCAGCACAGAGCGCAGGCGCCAGAGGCAATGCCGGATATGGTGGAACTGCATTTCCTGTTTCTATTGGTCGCGCTTTGTCCCTCCTCTCCGGTTTCTTCCCGAACTTCTCCTCTTTCTCGCAGTGATTGGCCAGTAGGCGGTTCCTATGGTAACTGACACCACGTCCCACGCCCAGCCTAACGACCTCGCCAGCCTCTTATTAGCAACTTTGGAGAAACGTGGGGCACTTTGCAATTTATTACGCACGCGCATTCTCTTCTAATTGGTGAGTACATTACTCTTCCTTTTCCTCCCAGCGCCGCCTTAGCAACGGTCCGGGTGGAGACGCCCCCCGCGGATTGGCTGCAGCCGACCTCTCGGCTGCGTAGATTGGCTGAAGCGTGGTAGAGGGTCAGACACAGGAAGTGCCTGAGGAGAACCGGTGGTCCCCGAACAGAGGCAGGTAGAGCCTGCGGTGACCGTGACACGGAGGAGCGGCGACATGACCCATCGGAAGTCCAGCCAACTCCAGAGCCCGAGAATGCAGCCGGACCTTGAACAACCCTCCGAACTGCGGCGGGAAATCAAGAGGGACCTCAGCTCAGCGGATGAACTAGCCTCGCGTAGGGGAACAGGTGTGCGGTCCGAGTTCGGCACCGTGGCCGCGGTGGAAGAGGAAGAAGATCCTGCAGCCAACTTGTTCCCGGTAAGGACGAGTAATCCGCTCAGCAATGTTATAAAAGGGCTCCCGACAGGGCGCCACCCGTGATATGTTTACTAATTTTAAGGCGTCTCCTGGGCTGCCTTGGTGAAGAGGGAATGTGTGACCCCGACTGTTAATACGCTCATTAGTAGGCCTTAGGGCCTGCTGAAGCCCAGCCCGCCCGCGTTGTTCGTTCACAGTCCTTAAGACGAGAAAGCAAGTTAACGAGTTCTCAGGTCCGCTGGAGGTTTGCCATGGACCAGGGACAAGGACTTTGGTCCAATCTGCTTTCTCTCCGCAGCCTCCTCTGCCCCAGCCCCGGATCTGCATGTGGTGAGTGTAAAGAGCCTTGGGAAAAGTTACATTTCACTATTCCCTTAGTACTTCCCCAACAGTCCTGTCAAACAGCCAGGGCAGAAAAAAAAAAAAGATAGGACATCCCCATTTTACAGATGAGGGAGGAGCCTGAGGTCCAGAGATGCGATTACCCAAGATGACTAGAAAATGGCTCTCCTGCCTCCACAGTCCAAAGAGCAAGTGTGGGAAGATGGGAGCCAAAGACAGAGGATGTAAATAGAATGTCATAGCTGTCATGGAGCATTGTGCAAATGGGGACACTGAGGCCCACAGGGGTACTTGCCCAAAGTCATACAATAAGGGAGTGACAGAGCAGAAACAAGAATTCAAGTTTCCTAACCGTAGGCTTTATAATGAAAATAATCATAAGAATTCATTTAGGCCACGGCCAGTGGTCCAATGGTTAGAGCATCAGCGTGCACTAAAACCTCACATGTTCCATTCCTGGTCAAGGGCATGTACCTGGGTTGCAGGTTCGATCCCTGGCCCAGTCGGGGCACAAGCGGGAGGCAACCAATTGACGGATGTCTCTCATATCAATGTTTCTTTCTCTTTTCCCCCTACCCCTCCCTCTGCCATTCTAAAAATCAGTGTAAGAAATATCCTGAGGAATAACCCACACACAAGTTCATTTAGACCATATCAGTTATTTACAGATGGAAAACATGATTCCCAGAGAGGGAAGTGGCTTGCCTAAGGTCACCAGCAAGTTAGTGGAAAGGCCGAACTTCAAACTGAGGTCTCCTGGTTCCCAGTCTAGTGCTCTAGTCCTGCCTTGAGACTAATGTATAATGGCCACCAACACCATTTCTCCTCTTTTCCTATGGCAGGAAGTACCTGGACATCCATTCCATGCACAGGCTGGAGAAGACGGCCAACACTGAGGAGATGAGGGAGTATGGAGGGGGGGTGGAGAAGCAGGGGAGGGAAGGAGCATGGGAAAGGCTGAGGGTGTACTGGGAAGGCATGAGAAATCCTGGCTCCAAAGCATGCTGTACACTAGTGTGGGGTAGTGAAGGGAGGCTTCCATTGTCTCTCACTCTGTCCTCACCCCCTCTCAAGGGTGCTGGCCAACCTGTTGGGGCTAGGATGGCCTGAGCAGAGCCTTCAGGATGCCATCACCCTGGATCTCTTCTCCCATGCACTCATCTTCTGCCGCCAGCAGGGCTTCTCGATGGAGCAGACATCAACGGCTTGTGCCCTGCTCCAAGATCTTCACAAGGCCTGTGTTGGTAAGAGGTGGCGGTGACCAGAAGGTTTGAGCCCAGGAAAGAGGATGCTGGATGGCACAAGTAACCATGGGAAGTAGAAATAGGGAGATCACCACCTGGAATCTGTTGTCATTACTAGCAGTGTTACCAGTTATTTCACCTATGAAATCCTTCATTTCCTTATCTATGAATACTGACTGTTCTGCTATATGGGGGGAGAGGGGGGGCCAACAAATGTATACACACTGAATAATTATTAATTCCAATGGGTTAAATCTGAAAAAAGACATTAGAATTAATAATTATACAGTGTGTATATTTTTGGGGACACCCTGTATATTAAATATATATAAATATATGCACAGTGCTCAGTAAAATAGTTCTTGCTTTCTCCCTTTTATTCCCAGAACTGGTTTTCTTCAAAATGTTTAACAAGAGCTAAAATTATGTATTTCTTGGTTTATTGTATGTCACTTCCACTACCATGTCAGCCTCTTAAAGGGGCAAGACCTTATCTGTCTTGTTCAGTGCCCAGAAGTCATAGTGGGTACTCAGTGTTTGGGTTAATGAAACAACCCAGTACTTAAACCTAGATCTGTCCACTTCTAAAGCTCATGCTCAGTAAGTAGCAGTTGAGTGAGTAAGATGAATGGTTATCACAGAGGTGACTCACTGGAATATCTTGTTTTCCCTCCCAGCAACCCCCCTGGGCAATGTGGAGGAATGTTACCGCTACTTCACCAGTGTTCTTTTTTGCCATGGAGTCAGGGTCAGTTCCCCTGATGGGATCTTCGCTCCTCCCCAGACAAGGTCTAGCCCAATCGCCTGTTCTCACCCTCATCACCCTCATCTTCCTCTGAAGGCCACAGTGGGCTCTCCCTGCTCCTGGACTGCTGGGCACTAGGAGAAAAGGCCAGAGCTTCAGGAGGTGGTCAGTCCTCTAACTCCCAATCACCCCCACAGCGGCCCCCTTTCAGTATCAACCTTTTTAAGGAGGAACAGCTGCTGGCCCTGGCTGATTATGTGGTCAACACCTACTTTCGCCACTTCAAGCTCTACAAATACGTCTTTACTCCCCAGGTATTGGGCCCTGGGCTACGAGACCACCCCTCAGCTCCCCACTTCCCTCAGTGCAGATGCCGTCCTCTCAGCTGCCCTCTGTGTCTTCCCAGGTGCGGCTAGATCTGTCTTTGACTTATTTAGGGCTGCAGCCACCCAAGCTCTGGTCAGAGGATGAGAGAGGTAAGGGAGAATGCCAGGGCTGGGGCTGGGGCTGGGGCTGGGGCTGAAGCTAAAGGTTCTTCCTGCTTCTGGTTGCAGAGAAAGAAGGTGGTGAGGAGGTGGAGGACCAGGCAGCCACCCTACAGGAGGAACCAGAAACGGTGGCTGAGCCACAGCAAGAGCCAAGTGAGGACCTGGAGGAGTTTGGGTTCTCTATGATTTGGGGCAAATGTGAAATGAAGGGTTTAGACCACATCAGGACTTCAGACTTTTAGTCATGGTGTCCTTTCTCCAAATGATTCAGCGTGCAGGAGTCCAAGGTGACAGATAAAGCACAGCTGCTAGGAGCTCCAGAAAAACTGATGACAGTAATAGCCAGCACATAGCTGATAACACTATGTGCCAGGCAAGCCCTATTTTATTTTATTTTTTATTGTTTTTTAAATCCTCACCCGAGGACACTTTTTCTATTGATTTTTAGAGAGAGGGAAAGACAGAGAAACATCAATGTAAGAGAAACACATCAACTGGTTGCTTCCTGCATGCGCCCTGACCAGGGCTCGGGCCAGGGAGAAGCCTACAACCGAGGTACATGCCCTTGACTGGAATCGAACTGGGGACCCTTGGGTCCACAGGCCAATGCTCTATCCACTGAGCCAAACAGGCCAGGGCCAGGCAAGCCCTATTTTAAACATTTTATGTACATTAACCCATTTAATTCTCCCTCAATCCTAGATGCTAGGTGCTATCACTGTCCACATTTTACACAGGAGGAAAGCTAAGGCATAGAGAGGTTAACTCACCTGCCTAAGTTCACAAAGCTATTAAGTAGCAATCCAGAAAGTCTGGCTGGAAGTAGCCATTCTGCCCACTTCTCTCACAGAAGGGCTGGCTAACATTTTCTGAATTGAAGCAACATTTCCACCTGTGTAGTCCCCAGGGACACCTTGCAAATTGCTTGCCCAGCTAGGGGCAATCCTTCAGCCCCAAGCAGCATCTCTCCTTCCCTGCCCCGCAGGCCAGGTCTCCCTCCTCCGAGCCTACATCAAGACCCAGCTGACCAAGGAGCTGGAGCTGCTGCAGCAGCTGGTGGATGAGCGGCTCAAGGCCAGCGAGGAAAGGCTCAACAGCAAGCTGACCTCACTAGAGCGGCCCTTCCAACTACCTCCAGGCAAAAGCAAGAATAAGACCAAGTGACTCCCCGTGTTTTCCCCAATAAAGGCCTCGGCCAGAGTGGCCCCATTCGCGCCCCCACCCCCATCCTGAGCAACTTCTGGGCTTTCCTGCCAAAGCCAGACACCAGACATAGGGCATTGGCTCCCTGGTGTGTAGATTTTATTGCATACACAGCACAGGTAGCACTGACAAGGCCAGGCATGGCACTCTTAAGCGGCTCCCTTCTACCTCAGCTCTGATCTGAAAGCCCTGGCCAGTGAGGATAGACTGGACTTTATGATAGTACGATGAGTGGTGGCCTAGCCAAGCAGTGGGGCCGGGGCCTACGGCCAGAGCCAAAAGGGGCTGGAATGATAAAAATCCTCCTCATGGAAAGTCCTGCTTTCTGGCATTCCCCAGGGCTCAGGTGCTAGCCCAGCACCAGCATGGCCTCATCCTCAGTGATAGCAGCTGAGTCCCCCTCCTCTTCAGGGCCCATGATGGGAAAAGGCCCAGGCGGCCGGTGCTGGAAGAGGGCTGCGCGGTTCTGCTGCTCGCCCTTCTTCACCCAGTGCCCATAGAGCCGGAAGGCACAGCTGTCAATGAGGCGCCGCACTGGCCGCAATGCATAGGGGTCCCTCAACAGCGCACTCTTCGTCAGCGGACGTGCATGGTGGATGCTTAAGGCCACTCGTCCAGCAGCCAACACTGTCCACACCGCCACCTGGGAAGGGGGAGGGGAGTGTGAGCTCCAGTGTAGCACTGCCACAGGGGACAGAAGAACAGGCCAAGACCTGACACTCTTAGGCTTACCCGGAACCGCTGTCGGGGGGTGAGGTTCCAGGGTTGGCTGCCTTCACAACGCTCAAAGAAGGGGTGCTGTAGAGCTTGCTTAGCTGTCAAACGCTCTTCAGGATCCACTTGCAGCAGCCTTGAAATCTAGGGGAACTCCACAACATGAGAGATAGCTCTTGGGCCTCCCGCCTTGCACCCTCAGGGTCCCAGCTCACCAGGTCTTTAACAGTGTTTGAACGGTCATCCCATTCGGGTGAGTTAAACTGGTACTGGCCTTCCATGATCATGCGTAACATCAGGATCTGACGCCGGTGCCAGAATGGTGGTGAGCCAGCCAGGAGTGTGAACAAGATGACCCCACAGGCCCAGCTGGGAAGAAGACCAAAGTCAGGCAGGAGTAGGTGCTGGGCAGATGTACACAGGAAGAGGACGGGATACCAGAAACTCACAGGTCGACCTCCTTGCCGTAGCCCGGGTGGGTTTCATCCATGGAGCATTTAAGGATCTCAGGTGCTAGATATCCTGGGGTCCCACACAACTCTGGGGAGAGAGGGCTGAGGTTGATGGGATGCCACCAGCCCCCTCATGGCCCTTAACACCAACCCTCTACTGGAGCCTCGACAAGTGTTCCTCATTCTGCTCCTGCCAGACTCTGCTGAGTCTCAGTACTAGACCCTGACCCTGGTGAACAACTCAAATACCCACCAAGGCTCCTGGTGGCCTTGGAGAAATCAAGAAAAACATGATTTTTAGATTTACTTCAGGTCCTATCCAACTATCACTTGCCTCCAACCCTCTGGGCCAAACCTACTCATTCCTCACACAAAGTGTTACCACATTTTTACATTCATAACATACACAAAAAACAAAACTTTTCTGCATTCCTTTCTGCGCAAATCTACTCTTCCTATAATCTCTACTCTGGTTGGTGGAACCACCACTCAAACCAAGGGGAAGGAGTGGGAGTATGGGATTTCTTCAAGTACATAGTGGGCAAGTCCCTTATTTAAAACTCTTCCCTGGCTCCCAGTATGGACTCAAGATCAAGTCTATTCTTACAGCACAGAGCCCTCCATGACTTGATCCAAACCCTTACTTTTAGTTTCTACCACTTCAGGCCCCAATTCTAACATCCTAGAAATTTCCAAACTGTATTCCATGGCACACTTCCAAGAGAGCTTAATAGGCCTAAACTGAACATGACTCTCAGGAAACTCATTCCTAAGCTAAGTATTTATTGCCTACCATGTACCTAGCACCACATTGGACACAGTGGTAAATTAGATGTGCTCTTACTAAACTTCATGTCCACTAAAAAGCAAATGAGAAATAATAGAGTAAGATGGGTGCCATGAAGGGAGTAAGGAACAAAAAGTAAAGGCCCTAGCTGGTTTGGCTCAGTGGATAGAGCGTCAGCCTTTGGACCAAAGGGTACCAGGTTTGATTCCGGTCAAGGGCACGTGCCTGGATTGCAGGCTTGATCCCCAGTAAGAGGTGTGCAGGAGGCAGCAGATCAATGATGCTCTGTCATCATTGATGTTTCTATCTCCCCTTTTCCTTCCTCTCTGAAATCAATAAAAATATATTTTTTAAAAAAAGAACAAAAAGAAAGGGATCTAGCCCGGCCAGCATTGTTTAGTGGTTAGCATCAGCCTGTGAACCGTGAGGTCACAGTTCGATTCCCGGTCAGGGCACATGCCCTGGCTGCAGGCTCGATCCCTAATGTGGGGCATGCAGAAGGCAGCCGATCAGTGATTCTCTCTTATCATTGATGTTTCTCTCTCTCTCTCCCTCTGCCTTCCTCTCTGAAATCAATAAAATATATTTTTTTAAAAAAAGAAAGGAATTTAACCTAACCTAGAACATTCAAGTGAAACCTGGTACCAAAGCTAAGAGAGAGAGTGGAGTGGGCAATGGTGAAGGTGATTCCAGAATGGGGAAAAGTATATTTGGAAGCACAAAGGAAAATAAAGCACAACATCTGCAAGATATGTAAGTCCACAGATTTAAGAGCATTAGAGTCAGACTGCCCAAGTTCAAATCCCAGCCACAGGAACTTGGGCAAGTCACAACACATCTATAAAATGGACACACAAATGCTATGTTGAGGGGGGGAAAGGAGGACACCTGCAATAATTTCAACATTAAAAAATTTTAAGAGAAACCAAGATGGCGGCATAGGTTAACGCGGGAGTTTGCTGCCTCGAACAACCACTTCAAAAATACAACTAAAAGACGGAACGGACATCATCCAGAACCACAGGAAGGCTGGCTGAATGGAAGTTCTACAACTAGGAGGAACCGAGAATCAGAGGAGGCGCAGTGCTGAAGTAAAATACTAAGGTGCGGAGTGCGCGCAGCGAGGGCTGGTGGCTGAGGGCGCGGTTGACTGTTTCAATCCGGAGGGAGCCTCAGACTCTGAGCTCCAGATCTGGGCGAGTCTCTAGGGACCCAGACTCAAACGGGAGAAGCGGAACTGTCTGGCTTCGGTCCCTCCGAGGTTTGCAGCGGTTGCTGGGACAGAGAGGCAGAGCCCCTGGGGACGGACTGAGAGCAGCCATAACTGCTCCCTCCTCCACCTTGTTGATCCTGTGGGACCCGCCCCGCCCAAGCCCTGCACAGAGCCATTTGCCGGATAGCCTCAGGCAAAGGCTAGATTAGCACCTCCCTAGAGGGCAGAAGTTCTCCCACTGCAAACACAGCTGATTCTCACAGCCAGTTGGCCTGGAGGTCAAGTAGTAATTACCTACAACAATCAAGGCTTGACTACAAGACTGCTCACAGAGACCACAAGGGGGTGCACCAAGAGTGTCTACCTCAGGTAATTGGGACACTTAACACGGAAAGCCACTCTATCGACACAGCGAAGCATAAAAAAATGCCAAGACAAAGAAACGGGCCACAAAGGACAGAACCGGAGGAAAGCAGGCTACTGGATATAGAATTCAAAACCACACTTTTGAGGTCTCTCAAGAGGCTTCTAGAGGCTGTCGATAAACTTGATGAGATGTACAGGAAATCTAATGAGACCCTCGATGGTGTGATAAAGGACCAACTAGAAAGTAAGCATACACTGACTGAAATAAAGAATATTATACAGACTCCCAACAGCAGACCAGAGGAGCGCAAGAATCAAGTCAAAGATTTGAAATGCGAGGAAGCAAAAAACACCCAACTGGAAAAGCAAAATGAAAAAAGAATCCGAAAGTGTGAAGATAGTGTAAGGAGCCTCTGGGACAGCTACAAGCGTACCAACATCAGAATAATAGGGGTGCCAGAAGATGAGAGAGAGCAAGATATTGAAAACCTATTTGAAGAAATAATGGCAGAAAACTTCCCCCACCTGGTGAAAGAAATAGTCTTACAGGTCCAGGAAGCGCAGAGAACCCCAAACAAAAGGAATCCAAAGAGGACCACACCAAGACACATCATAATTAAAATGCCAAGAGCAAAAGACAAAGAGAATCTTTTTTTTTTTTTAAATATATTTTGATTTTTTACAGAGAGGAAGGGAGAGAGACAGAGAGTTAGAAACATCAATGAGAGAGAAACATCAATCAGCCGCCTCCTGCACATCTCCTACTGGGGATGTGCCCACAACCCAGGTACATGCCCTTGACCGGAATCGAACCTGGGACCTTTCAGTCCGCAGGCCGACGCTCTATCCACTGAGCCAAACCGGTTTCGGCAAGAGAGAATCTTAAAAGCAGCAAGAGAAAGAAACTCAGTTACCTACAAGGGAATACCCATACGACTGTCAGCTGATTTCTCAACAGAAACTTTGCAGGCCAGAAGGGAATGGCAAGAAATATTCAAAGTGATGAATACCAAGAACCTACAACCAAGATTACTTTATCCAGCAAAGTTATCATTCAGAATTGAAGGTCAGATAAAGAGCTTCACAGATAAGGAAAAGCTAAAGGAGTTCATCACCACCAAACCAGTATTATATGAAATGCTGAAAGGTATCCTTTAAGAAGAGGAAGAAGAAGGTAAAGATACAAATTATGAACAACAAATACGCATCTATCAACAAGTGAATCTAAGAATCAAGTGAATAAATAATCTGATGAACACAATGAACTGGTGATTATAATAGAATCAGGGACATAGAAAGGGAATGGACTGACTATACTTGGGGTGGGGGAAGGGGTGTGGGAAATGCGGGAAGAGACTGGACAAAAATCATGCACCTATGGATGAGGACAGTGGGTGGGGAGTGAGGGCGGAGGGTGGGGTGGGAACTGGGAGGAGGGGAGTTATTGGGGGGAAAAAAGAGGAACAAATGTAAT